ACTTTACTGGGCACATACTACTTAGATATGTAATGCTACTATGCACAAAAGGGCTAACTTATCTTAAGTTCCTTTGGACATTTGTCATTCACTCTAATTTCCTTAGTGTGGTATGCTACATGATATGCTGTATCAAGAGTGTCTCTCTTTTGGCTTTAAAACATACAATTAAGAATTGGTCTCTGCTGCTATGGGTCTTACCAGAAGATACAAAAAGATCTGATGTGATTTCTACATTCTTGCCAGAAAGCACCACATATGAGATTGCCAAACATGATGGGTGTGATCAAAGATGCGAGCCCAGCTAAACATTAGTGCCCTATCTTAGCTGTTCTGAAAGCCAGAGGTGCATGGTTCTGCACTAATTACAAGGAAACTGTTGAAGTGGAAATTGTTGCCATGGAGCTGCTGTCACAGTGGTTTCAGGAGTATTCCAGAACTTGGATGGTAAAGGAGATGGATTTTTGTGGATGGACTCTTAGGAGGGGTTTTTCCTCAAAGGGTTCAGCAGTCTGGTGTTTTGGGAGCTGTTATTCTCACAAGTGCTTGTCCTAATTTGTGCCCACAGCTTCTGCAAGCAGTGGTTGGTAAAGAGCTTTATCTGCCAGAACCGAGGTCATGTAATAGATGATTCTGCTTCTTTCTGTGCAGGAAAGTAAGTACAAATGTTCATTTAGTCTAGTCACTAAACACAGTGTGGAGCAAATAGGTATTCTCTCCATTTTAAAGATGGATAAACTGCAGCACAGTGAGAATTAATACTGATAAATAGCCTATTAAATATCAAACATTAAATGTATCACCTTTTTATTTATATGCAACACTTTTTATTTATCTCATGTAATAGAACTGTCATATTCACATGTACATTAATCAATGATATAATGCTTCCCTCTTTTAGTTTCTCCAAGTCTTTCTCCCAGTATCCTAGTTTATTATTTATTTATATTTTTGGAAAAGAACACAGAAAACAAGAAAAAACTTGTATATTTTATTTATCTATCACAACTTAATATTTGTCAAAAAAGAACATGAAATCCCTGATAGCACAGTATGAACTGTCATACAGAGCTAGTAATTTCACAGGCTGTTAGTACTGCTTCCTCTCTCTAGTTTTTAAATTCCTTTTTCTGACTCTACATTGTTTTTA